GAGGAAACCCTTCTTGTTACTCTTAACATCTCTCGCTAGCTGCAACTCTAAGTGCGATTTGGCCTTCCTGATTTCACTCCTGCATGCCTGAGCAATATTTTTATACTCCTCCCTGGTCATTTGTCCAATCTTCCACTTCTTGTAAGCTTCTTTTTTGCCTTTAAGGTCAGCAAGGATTTCACTGTTTAGCCAAGCTGGTCGCCTGCCATATTTACTATTCTTTCTACACATCGGGATGGTTTGTTCCTGCAACCGCAATAAGGATTCTTTAAAATACATATACACATATATAAAGTACGGATAGGATAAACACGTGCCAGGATGGCACCAGAACATTCCGGTACAAACACATTCCACAGAGATAATGAGGAAGAGGCTGACCCATCCTAAAGACACAGTCAAAAGGATAATATGATGGATAGACTTGTTTGTTCGAACATGTACCAGGAGAGAGGCAGCACCCCAACACGCAGAGGGGTTGTACCTCAATACGGCAGGAGTGATGTGTAAGTTGTTTGTACCTGTGTATAAGAATGCACCCCCGAGTGGACGTCTTTGTCCTGCCTAGGGGGCAGTGGAGAGCCCCACCACTGACTGAGCCGGTCCGTTGTCAGGGGGCACTATGTACTAGCAGAACTGTAGACATCTGATCTGGGGAGCTAGAGACTGTTTTGTTTGGCAATAAACCTGGCTACCTTATCGGAGTCTGTGGTCATTGGGGGTTCTCTCGGGTTTGCTGTGTCAGCGATCTGCAGAGCCAGGGCAGCTCACAGAGGGAACACACACACGCAGCCAACTGTTATCAACATTGAACAGAGCAGAGCACCACACCGGTGGCATCTGATGACACTGGTGACCCCAACCGCTGATCTGGTGAGTAAGCGAGCTGCCCGCTGTAGGAATCGTGATCTAACATGGCAGAAAACCACGAGCTAGGGAACCCCCTTAATCCCTCCCTGCAAATCCCGACAGAGTTTTAAAAATATAATGGGGAAGAAACATGGAATTAAATTTGTAAGGCTAGGGCAGAAACTGTAGCCTTGAAATGTAGACTATTGCAAACTATAACCATGGCTGTTAAAGGGTTAAGACAACAGGCCACAAAATTGGCAGGGCAAGTAACAGAAACAGAGGAAGTGTTCAAAGAATCAGCAGAAGCTACAAAGCCCTGGACTGCTCTCTCCTTGCGGGGCGGCAAGCAGTCCACAGACAACCAGCACAGGAACAGACTCAAACACTGGAAACAGCTGCAAGGAACCTACAAAAAATACATGTGCCCTCCCCTGTTATAAATACTGGTGGTAAACAGCAGGCTTCCGGTAGCTCCCCTGTGCCTGAAGAATGGGGACAGAAGTGGAAAAAGATGGCCCTAGTAAAATTAAAAGATGAAACGGGGTCCACTGCATTGCAACCACCACCTTATGATAAAAGCCAGGTTCTGGTCAAACCTAAACCGGGACCTAGACTGGTGCCTGTCAGAACGGGACAAGTAAGTGCACAGAAGGAAAGAGTAGCACACAATACTTTCACTGAATTGGTAAATCAGATGAAGGAAAATATGGAACAGTTCACAGAGCACATTAGGAGACAGGAGCTGCGACTCGATCGCAGGGGAGTGAATAAAAAAGAATTTCAAAGTAAAAAACCAAAATTAAGTGGGTTAACACCTAGAATTGATGCATTAACACATGGAGTTGCCCAAAACCGGTTAACTGCAGCAAAAAAGGGCACTCCTGCAATCCATCTGGCATGCACACAAAAGCAGACACGGGGGGAACAAATTCAGGTTTTACAAGAGCAGGTAACTCTCCTCTCAAAGCCAGGATAAAAACCAGGGGTGCAGTTCCCAACTGCTTTGACCCACAGAACCACACTCCGTGCTCATATCTAAAAATTTAATCTTCTTTCTCAAATATTTTTAACCGGTTAAGTGTTTTCCTTTATATGCTTCCTCAGTTTGCTAAACTCGCTGCTGCTGCCTGTACTTTCAAATACACCTCTATCTCGATATAACGCTGTCCTCAGGAGCCAAAAAATCTTACCGAATTATGGGTGAAACCGCGTTATATCGAACTTGCTTTGATCCACCGGAGTGCGCAGGCCTGCCCCCCCCTCCCCCCGAGCACTGCTTTACCGCGTTATAGCCGAATTCGTGTTATATTGGGTCATGTTATATCGAGGTAGCGGAGTACCTTGATAGAGTTAATCTCTCTTGGCTCAGGTCTCGCTACCTTCCTAGGTTGCTCTTCACTCCACCCTCTCTCCCCCGCCTCTCCTCAATTCTGCTCTCTGTCTCTGTTTTAAAAGTCAAAAGTTATAGTTTTTACAGAAACCTCCAAAAGATAAAGCAATTGAAAACAGAACAAACAAGAAAAAAAGAAAAGATAAAAACTTTACTTTAAATAAATCCAATAAATTAATTATTTTAACCCTTCAGGAATGCAACAGCTGGAATTATTCCTAACTTTCTTGAAGATATGGTTATCTGATACCAAGGGTTTATGGTTCAGGGCCTCATTGATTACAGGCAGAATAACTGATGCTTCTTAGGTGATGCCTAGTCAATGAATGTGGGAATTTTCTGTAATGTTTTGATGATCCATATGCCAGCTTCGGTAGCCCTGTGCACTTGGTACGGCTATCCACTGAGGCCTGGTCTAACCTTCCTCAACATAATGATGTCGCTCAGGGGTGTGCAAAATCCACCCCCGAGTGACACAGCTAAGGCAACCTAACCCCAGGGTGGACGCAGTTAAGGCGACCTAACCCTGGGTGTAGATGCGGCTACGGCAACAGAAGGATGCTTCCATCAACTGAGCTACTGCTGCTCGGGGAGACAGGTACGTCAACGGAATCACCCGTTCTGCGGCTGCTGCAGTATGGCTACGGTGCGGCAGCTGTGCCCCCGTCACGCCCGTAGTGCAGGCATTGCCTAGCTGGAAGCAGACTCTTCACAAGGACTCGCTCCAATCCACACGTGTGACTGGAGAATCTGGAAGGCTCAATGGAGCAGCAGCGAAGAAAAGACTTAAGCTGGAAACCAAAGAGGGAGTCAGGTGTGGACAGACATCTCTCAAGGGGGGTCTGCTGGGACAGAGACAGAGAACAGAGCGATCCTACCCTGCCAGGAGCAGCGGCAAGAGACCGCTGGTTTTCCCCAGTATCCTAGTTCTTGCAAGCAGGTGCACGGCACATGCGCCTGTGTGTCCTCGCACAGCCCCAGGACGCAATATGCCGGACTCTGCTGTTAGTGCCATTAGCCCCTCACTTTTCTAAACGCACTTCCATCCAGCTCAAAGGCCTGTCAGCCTGTCTGTCGCCGATACAGGGCCGCAGCAAGCTCCCCCGGCCGCTGCGCAGCACGGGGAGCTGGGGCAGACAGCACGGGGAGCTGCATCCCAAAGTGAGACTGAGCGAGTCACTGTGGAGGCCTGGGGGTTGGATTTTTTAACATTCATTAAAGAAACTGCCTGTTCCACAGTGGCTCACAGAAACCTTCAGAGCCAGGCCAAAGAGCAATTTTATGGAGGGACAAAGGGGGGGAAGTTCATAGCACCCAGCTAACTCTAGGTTTTCCAGGGTGTGGCCTTCCAGCACTCAGCTGTGCCATCCAATTCTCACAGGTGGGGCCCCATCCACTCCCGCCTTTTCTTCTTCTTCAAACAAACCATGAGAGGTCACATAAAAGTGAAACTGTGGTTTGGTCTGGGTCACAGGAACACAGGGTTCAAACTATAATGGGCCAGAAAAGCAGCGTCACAGCACAATGGGATAGCACAAGACAGAGCCACAGCCCAGGGCACAACTGTAGCGACCGCGTGGCCCACGTGCCAAGGTCAGTGGCGTTCGTTTGCTTTGAATGAGTGCGATATTAAAAAAGTGGATCTCATCTCATCACTAATTAACACCAATAAGCAAAGCTAACGGGTAAACTTCCTTCTCCACTCTCTCCAGCGCAGAGACAAGAGTGCAGTGCCCTCTAACAGGGAAACAGGTTACTAGACAGGAATGAGATTCTTCAAGGGAGTGGCACAATGTGGTACCCGTATTTACTGGGGCTCTATGTGTCTGGGCGGGAGCACTGACATCCACCTGTTTATGGTGGGCTATTTCTACCCTCTGGAAACTTTCCGACCACGTCCCTTTCGGGAAGGCAGCTGTCAGGAATATACTCTCTTTCAGTAGCTCTCAACCTTTCCAAACAACCGTACCCCCTTCAGGAGTCTGGTTTGTCTTTCGTACCCCCAAGTTTCACCTCACTTTAAAAACGACTTGCTTACACAATCAGACATAAAAATACAAAAGTGTCACAGCCCACTAGTACTGACAAATTACTTACTTTCTCGCTGTTACCGTACAATTATAAAATAAATCGATTGGAATATAAATACTGTACTTACATGTCAGTGTGTAGTGTAGAAAGAACAGTAGAAACAAGTCAGTGTCTACGAAATATTAGTTTGTACTGACTTTGCTAGTACTTTTTATGTAGCCTGTTGAAAAACGAGGCAAATCTCTAGATGAGTTGATGTACCCCCTGGAAGAGCTCTGCGTACCCCTGGTTGAGACCCACAGCTCTATCCGAATTAGCCATCAGTATGTTCTATGCATGCCGGTCAGCACAAGGCACGTGGCTCTCTCCATTAAGCTAAGCAGATCCCTTGTGGCTCACGAAGCACGAGATCTTTCTGAAGGACCGGCCGGACCCGCTGGATAGGGGGGAATCACTGTTCGGTTTTACAAGCAGGCCAGCCTAGTAGCTGGACACACATGCCGCTCACCTTGCCCAGATTCACTGTTGCCATTTTAGGCTTGTCCAACACCACTGCCTGTATGCAGATCCGGTATCCATGCAGCGACTCCCCTGCAAAACACGCCACACCAGACTCAGACTAAGCTGGAGGTTATGTTGCTTTTAAACACATCTCCCTCCCGTCCCCACAATGCCCAAAAATGGAAGGGTTACCCCCCATCCGCCGCCAAACAGCACACCCAGCTGGGTTCACACAACCCGCCCCCCTGTCCAGCAGCACTCGCTCTCTCTCGCCCACTAAGCCTTTCATAACAGAGGTGGGGTCCAGCATAATGCTTTGGGGTCCGCTTCCTTCTGATCCACTCTCCTTGCTTTCCATTCCCATTCTGGGTCCCTCCCTCTGAGCTCAGCGGTGCTGTGAACACACACCTGCCTCTGCTAGAGGGGAAGCACAGTCCCACCCCGGGAGATAATCACCCCCACTGTGGTGAACCCCAGCAGCCCCTGCCCCACCCACTCCACAACGGAGTCACCAATAGCTTCTCCAGGCAGAAAAACCTCCTGCCTAGCCCAGGCGTCCAAGGAATGCAGAGGTGTCTGCTGCTGGCTCCCAGACAGATTCTGCCCCGGGGTAACTCGGTGGAGCAGCCTGGGGCTAACCCCACCCTCGTTTAAATGAAAAAGGGACACGGGGGAGGGGAGCAGGAAGACAGTGGCCGGTGATGGTTATGAGAAGCAGTAAGGAGTCGTGCACACTGCAGCACTAAACCTGTGGCAGCTCCCTGTGAATTAAAAAGGGAAGGGGGAAGCAGCACAGGAAGCGCCTTCCGATTGTGGGATCAGCACATGCCTGGAATGGCTCTGCTAAAATGATCAGCAGTGAAATAGTTAATGTTAGTATTTATGTTATCTTTAGGTTTCAGAGTCAACACTGGTTGAGACAAATGAGGCAATTCACCCCTCTCAGAGCTATTGTTTCAGGCAGCCCCCAGATTTACAGATCGACAGCCTCCGTTCACACGCTGGTCACATGTTCCCGGTTTTCTTATTTAAACAACAGCTCAGGTTCTGGATCGGTTTGCCGGGGAGGGGGATGGACGGACGGACTGGGACTGCAGCAAACTTTGCAGCCACAAGACATGCAGCCCCCCAGCAATGACGGCGTGCACACTGCAAGCATCATATGATGATCACTCGAGGCTTGCTTTTGAAGCTTTGGCGTGTGCCAAAAATACAAGGGAAAAAAGGGGCTGGGAGGAGGGTATTTTCTGGGAGGCGTTCTCAGCTCAGGAATTCCCTCCCTGCCACGGTCCAATAGAGCCCAAATCTAAGCTGTAACTATCAGAAATGCAAATCAATCAGCACAGGCTCCCCCCAGCAGTCGGCACGCTTTACCATACAAGCTGTGAGGATGGCTGCTAGCGATAAACAGAAATACACAGATTCCTGTAGCTTAGGGTTACCATATTCAAACATTTAAAAAAGAGGACACTCCAGGGGGCCCCGGTCCCGCCCCCAGCCCTGCCCCAACTCCGCCCCTTCCCCGCCCCAACCCCACCCCTTCTCCGCCCCCATTCCAACCCTTTCCCCAAAGTCCCTGCCCCAACTCTGCCCCCTCCTCTGAGCACCCCGCATTCCCCCTCCTCCCTCCCA